TTCAACCTATCTTGCTGGAACTCATTTTCCATTCGCTTATCATTTCATGAACTTATTACAGACAATAGTTTCTAACTTTATTATTATTTCTGAAGTAAAGCAAGTTAAATTTTTTATACTTACTGTCTCCTTGCATTGTCGCTCATTTCTCAATAAAATAAAATAAATAAATAAATGAAAAAAATTAGCAGAAATTTTTTGATTATTCAATAATCCACAAAATTTCCTTTAAAAAGAATCTAGAGACACTTTGATATCTGTAACATAAACTGCACTTATCTTCCTAAATGCTTAAAATTTGTTTAAACATAAAGTCAGTTTTTCCTTGCAACAAGTTAGCAACTCAAAATGTTTTTTTCTAGTCTCCAGAATCTGAAATACAGGTCTTCTGTAGTAGTTAGGAACGCATTCCTGTATTTAAAACTCATGTTATGGTTGTTAAAAACTACAAAAATGAAAAAGATCTTACAAACAAATTTTGTTTTAAATATTCGCTCACTGTAAGAAAACCCCTTCTTTTCTATGTGCCATTTTCTTCAATGTTTGTAAGCCTTATATCCTATTTCTGGATCTTTGGAATCAGTTATCGTGTTGGCCTGATTGTATTCAATTATTCTTTAGTCTTAATTATCCATTAGTTCATTTGAACCATATTCAGATATTGGTTTATTAATTTAACAGCTCTTTTCAGTCTTTAATTACCAAAGACCAAACAAAATTTTACTTCTAACTCAAATGTTCCTTCCTTACTTGAAAATATTGAGATTAAACTACAGATGCTCTGGTCAGTAACCAGCACACAAATCTGCCTACCTCGCCAACGGTAAGCAGTAATCGAGCATTCTAATTAGGCCGGTGAATCCCCTAATCTATAGAAATAATTGAACAACTAAAAGTCTCAAAATTTTGTTTTCAACAAAAAATTTATAACATTTAAAGACTAGTCACTTTTGGTTGAAAAATATTGTTGGGAGCTAAATTAGGATTTTTTTAATAGGGTAGAATTTGCAGTTTTGCAGAGTCGTCAAAATGAAGTTTGCAGAGGACTTTATGATGCATGAAAAAATATGAAAATGGTACTAGGGATGTCACAGTGACAGACTGAACGACAGTAGTTCAAGTATTCAGAAACTCAGACCTCCTTTACGGAGCGCTCTGAAGTGGACCAGACGGCTACTAAAAGAGGGCATTCTGGTGTTATAAATGATCATAAATTGTTTTTTCACCTGTTCTCAAACTTACTGCAGAAAACACCTCTTCATAGTCATCTCCCCGATTGTGCCGGCTCGGTCTATTATTTCTCTTGTAAATTACTTGCTTTTTTTGCTGCGTTAATTTAGACCTAGTAAAAAAA